TAGGGCGGGGCGGATTTTCCCCCACCCAGTTTAAGGAGTGACCACTTAGGGGACCTTTTTTTCATTGGACGAGAACCTTGTTTTGCGGCCGGGACAAATAGCAGGATTCGCCTTCAAGGCCTTGGGGGGGGGCCGGCCCTTTTTTGTTCTTTTTTTCAAAAAAACAAGGAACCGGACCTTGAAGTTTTCGGCCGGGATACGTTGGAGCACGAAGCGGCGCGCCTTCTTCTTCTTCTTCGCGGCACCTTCGGCGCCACCCTCTTCAGCCTCGCCATCGACGACCTCCTCGTCCATTTCCGGATCGATCTCCTCGGCGTCCGCCATTTGTCGCTTGCGCTCCAGCGACGTGACAGCACAGCCGGGGCTCTGCTCCAAGCTCGCGGATAATAGAAGAATTTCCCGTGCCACTTGGGTTGTCCGTTTCCCTCCCTTGGGTTGTGTGTTTTCTTTCTTTCTTTTCTTTTTCCGTCTTTTCTTTCTTTCGATCTCGACCTCCAGAGGGCTCTTTGTTTTCTCACTTTGCTCGCGCGTCCGCATCGAGAGGTGATGTCTGACGACGCGAAAGTGCGCAGGGTGTGTGTGTCGCAGCGTGTGGTTCATCCTTTTTACTTTTAGCAATACCAAACAATTCCAACACTCACACGTCATTTGGGGCCTGGAGCCCTGTTCACGCGCGCGCGATGAGGCTGTCGCTCCGAAAAAATCCTTTCACGTTTCAGGCTGTCACAGAAAAACACAACCCCGGACCCAAGACGCACAAGCAGAAACAGTCAGTCGAGAAGGGAGAGACAGCAACGACAGTCAGAACACAGAAGTCAGCACTGGCGTGGGTCCCAGGAAGGCGAATGCGATGACGGCCTCTAGTTGGTCGGCAAGGATGAGGTAGTCCTTCTGCGAGAAGCCGGCGAGCAGGGTGTATATGGCCACCGCAAAGGAGCCGTCGCGGCGCAGGCCCTGGGCGAGAAGTGAGCCCACGGCGAGAAGCATGAGCTGTGGGAGCAGGGTTGAGAGGAAGGAATCCACGACCTGCCCGCAGCAGCGCCGAAAGGATGTCGCAAAGCGTGATAGCATGGCCGCAAGTACGCGCCGAATTCCCATGAAAACAAGTGAAAAATCGCGCAAAAAATACTCAAAGATCGGCGCCTGCGGCGGGCTGGGGGACTCCATCTCCCCCCCGCATGGGTACCCCCTAGGGGCCCCGCCTCCCCCCAGAGATTGAGATACCAGAGATATAAGAGGTTGAAACACTTGAAGGTTGTCCCTGAGCCCTGGTGTCGAGGTGTCGAGGCCCGGTGTCGAGGGTGTCGAGCTGCTGTCGAGCTGCTGTCGAGGGATAGAGGTGTCGAGGCCTGTCGAGGCCTGTCGAGGCCTGTCGAGGCCTGTCGAGGCCTGTCGAGGCCTGTCGAGGCCTGTCGAGGCCTGTCGAGGCCTGTTGAGGCCTGTCGAGGCTGAAACCATGCTTGACCGTGTCGAGGGGTGTCGAGGGGTGTCGAGGGTGTCGAGGGTGTCGAGGGTGTCGAGCAGGTGTCGAGTGTTGTCAAGGGGTTTTGCGTCTAAGGTGTCGAGGTGTCCAAGGTGGCAGGATGCAGTTGCAGCCCATCAACAAAACTTGGGCAGCAGTTGCAAAGCTGTTTCATCCCTTAGTTGCAGCCTCAGTTGCACCCTGTTGATGTAGCACAACCTGAGCACAACCAGTATACTCTCTGTGGACATTTGAGGACATCAAGTGCCGGGAGTCATTGCCACTGTGCACAAAGGTACTGTGCAGGCGCAGCACCGTAGCAGCGTCGCCGCTGCAGCAGCGTCGCCCCTGCAGCGCCACCGGCGCACAAAGCGCAACTGACCACAGCGCTCATGGCACAAGGCTGGTGCCATGAGTCAGTGGACATTGCCACTGCACAAGGTGCTGTCCAGCAGCTAAGGGCTGCCAGTACCCCATCGCAGCAGCGTCGCCGCCGCTGCAGCGTCGCCGTTGCAGCCAAGCGTCGCCAGTGCACAAAGCGCAATGGACCACAGGTCTGCACTCATGGCACAAGCTCACTGGTGTGAGGATTCATTGCCACTGTACAAGGTGCTGTGCAGCACCTGAGGGCTACCTGAGTACTGCCATGTTTGCTGCATCAACAGGGGTGCAACTGAGCTGCAACTTGAGCTAGAACTTGAGAGGCTGCAACTCAGGGATGAAAGTACTGCCAGCCAAGTTTGATTGCTGCTGCAACCCTGATTTCTAACTCTGACTCCAATGGGTCTACATCTCTGCTGTGTTAGGATCATCAGAGGTGTCGAGCGGTGTCGAGCGGTGTCGAGCGGTGTCGAGGGGTGTCGAGCGGTGTCGAGGGGTGTCGAGGGGTATCGAGGTGTCGAGTTTGGCACCTTGACACGGTCGAGCATGGTTTCAGCCTAGATGGTGTCGAGGGGTGTCGAGGGGTGTCGAGGGGTGTCGAGGGGTGTCGAGTTGGTCGAGTTGGCATGGGGTGTCGAGGTGTCGAGTTGGTGTCGAGTTGGTGTCGAGGTTTGGTGTCGAGGTGTCGAGGCCAGGGCTCAGGGTTGTCCGTTTTGATTGAGCTGAGGAAAACGAATAGGGAAATACGCTCGCGAGTAAGTAAAGGTATGAGTGTATATGGCACATGTGTCGCACGTCGCAGTACGCACAACGCGGGTCAGCCAAGAATTCACTTAAATCACATGAGAAGAATGTCTCGGTAGACCGAGATCGCATCCCTTCCTTGACTTACGGCTCTACTTAGGGAAAGCCGCGTGTGGGTCAGCTCTCAGCTGACAGCTCTCGCAGTCGCGGGCCGCTTCCTGACGTATGATTCGTTACGACGACTCGGGCCCTGCCTTCGAGATTCACGAGACTCTCCGGAATCGGGCAATCGCAGCGTTCCGCCCGCGCCGCCTGAAGCCCCGCCCTCATGAGAGATCCTCACATCAGCGTCCATGCCAGCAGCGGGCCCTGCTTCAGTAGCCGCCCGGGAGCTCGCCGCCGCCGCCGCTGTACGCGCCGCCAGGGCGGGAGATGAACTTGCGGAGGATCGGCTTGATGGCGACGGCCCACACGGCCTGGGCGTGGGAGGGGCAGGCCGCACTCGGGCGTGGGTCGAGGGCGCAGGCCAGAGAAGGGCGAAGGATCGAGGCGGCGCGGCGCGGCGGGCGCGCAGCAGCCGGCCGGGGCGAGAGGCGGGGGGGGCGGCGGCGCCTTGACGAGCAGCGCGACGGGCTTGAGGACGAGGGCGGCGAGCAGCTGTCGCTGCGCCACGTAGAGGTACCCGACCCCGCCAAGCAGCACCAGGCCCTTGAGCGAAAAGACCCTCCCCAGCAGGCCCCGCTCGCCGCCCCGGCTGCGTCCGGCCGCCTTCACCGCCTGCAGAGAGGGGCAGCCGCAGGGCGGGGCGTGGGATGGCGAGAGGGAGGGCGAGAGAGAGTGACGGGTGTGGCCGAGCGTCTCGCGCCAGCTTCCGCCGCTTGTCTAGCTCCTTGAGCTGCTTCTTCTTCTGCGCGTCTAGCTCCTTCTGCCGCTTTTCGTGCGCCTTCTTCTCCTTGGCACTCATCCGCGGCTTCTTCGAATTCTGCGGCGTCGAAGGAAAGCTGCCCGCCCTGTTTTGCTGCTGCAGCAGCGGGTGGGCCGGGGAGTGCGCAGTGAGCTGGTGAGGGTTCGGGCGACGGGCAAGCGAGACGACTGGGCTCGCGCACATCGGCGCGCAGATGCTGCTCGTACAGCGCCTGCTGCCGCGCCTGCTGCAGCAGGGCGGCCTGCTGCTGCGCCTGCAGCTCGCGCTGCCGCTGCGCCTGCGCCGCCTTCGCGGCCTGCTCCTGCTGTTGCCTGTACATCATCTGCGCCTGCGCCATCTGGGACGCGGCGGCAGGAGGGGCGGCGGTGAAAAGGCAGGTCGTCTCGTCGATGGATCAGTGGAGGAGAGGTCTGCAGAGGAGAGGTCTGCCGCACCTCGTCGTAGCTGTTGTAGCCGCGCTGAGCGTCGGCGAGGGCGCCGAGGAGCGTCAGGAGGAGGGTGCTGCGTCTCATTGGGCTGTCTGCAGACACGCCAAGACGCGCGGGCTAACTCTTTGCTTGTGCTGTCTGCAGACACGCCAATCGCGGGCTCGCGCTCGAGGTGTGGCAACCGCAGCGTTTAAAAAATAGAGGTCGCAGTCCAAGTGCAGGGCCCCCAATGGGGGCGGGGTTGAATGGGCTAACGCTGGCGTGGCGTTGACATGAGCACGAAGTTCCTAATGTGGGTAGACGACAAAAAGTAGGGTTGAATTCGTCCACGTAAGGCTTGGGGAGTGCTTGGGGTGGCCTCAGGCATCCCCAATGGAGTCGCCCTCCCACCTCCTCGACCCCCTCCTCGATTCGGTGCTCGAGCTCGCCGAGGAGGCGGGCGGGCTCGAGACGCTGCCAAAGCTCATGTCACATGTGCAACTCTCTCGCCTCCAACCTCCTCAAGCCCGGCTTCGCCGACGCGGCGCTTGATCTCGCCGAGAAGGCGGGCGGGCTCCACACGTTGCCACGGATGATGTGCGACGGCCTCGCCGCCAACCTCCTCAAGCCCGGCTTCGCCGACGCGGCGCTCGATCTCGCCAAGAAGGCGGGCGGGATCCACACGTTGCCACAGATGATGTGCGACAGCCTCGCCGCCAACCTCCTCAAGCCCGGCTTCACCGAGGCGGCGTTCAAGGTTGCTAGGAGGGCGGGCGGGGTCGACCAGCTGCCGGCCTTGATGTGCAACGGCCTGGCAGCGCGCCTCTTCATTTCCGACTTTACCACCGACCTCCACGCCATCCTCGACATCGCCGAGGAGCTCAGCGTTGACGTTCCAATGACACTCGCGCGGCTCGTGAAGCAAGATTCGGAATTTTTGGACTACGTGTCGTCCATCCGCAACCGCCTCGAGCTTCGCAACGACGACGAGCGCTGAGAGTGCCTGCGAGGGCTCGCGGGTGATAGGTCGAAAAAGCGCAAGGCCATCAATGGTGGAGCCTCGTCGCTTCCAACTACATCTCGATGCACCGCCAGTCCAAGGCCGCCGAGGGCGGCGGTGGCGTCGGCAAGCGCAAGGCCGCCGGAGGCGGGTCGGGCGGCGGCAAGCGCGCCAAGCCGCAGTGGGCGGAGGGCCAGCTTGTGGAGGTTCAGGGCGACTGCGGCTACAAGGGCTCGTGGTGGCCGGCGAAGATTCGGGAGATCGCCCCTCCGCCCAAGCAGTCGGCCACGGTCGTCTACTCCTACAACGGCACGGAAACCGACACCGTCGCGAAGCGTCGCTTGCGCCCGGTGCCTGAGGTGGCGCCGCTCGCGGAGAAGGATCTGGGGGTGGGGAGTGAGCTTGAGTTCTTTTGGAAGGGCGAAGCATGGTGGGAGATTGTGGTGACTGAGATTCGCGGCGACGGCGCCATCCACGTCTCGTGCTGGTCGGGGGCGAACGAGTACTAACATGCACTTGGTCGAGAGGGGAGACGTCGCCAGGCTGCTGCGGCGGCGCACGGCATGAGTACGGCATGGACAGTGGACACGTGTCTGTCGGAAATGTCTCGGAAATGTCTCGGAGGCACGCACCAAAGAGTGAGCCGACACAGTGGAATCAATGAGTGTCCTGAAAGGTTCTCTCAACCGCAGCGTGAAAAAAAATATGGGCGAGACGACCGCGAGGTGGCATGAAGGTTGCAGCGAGAATCGGCGAGGGACTGCGAAGGGAGATAGAAAGAGGCAGACCACCAAGGGTTAGGGTGGGCGACGGCTAGCACCACACTCCTCTCCTCAAAATCCCTGTGTGGTGGCGGCGTGCCGTCCTCCCATCCCTGCCTTTGGGTTGTCTGTTTTCTTTCTTTCTTTTTGTTCAAAGGCAAAACACAACGCTCTGCAGTTCGTACCCTAGCGTAGCCGAGGGTTCGTTCGTACACCCCTCGCACTGACTGACACATACTTCCTTCATCCCATACCTTTGGCTTTGCTGAGCACATCCTCCCGGATCCCGCGACTCGGGAGGAGATGATCTACGACCAGGAAAGACTATCCTGGATCCTGCTGAACAAGCTCCTCTTGTAGCTCGATCGGTCACACCGCCATCACACCGCCGATGTCTCCCAGTGAGACGATGGAGAGGGGGGACGACACTGCTTCAGCAGCGTGCACCTCGATCCTGTAATAGCGTGTTTGTTATGTCCATCGGGCGGCGCTCAACTGGCTGTCTCAGGGTGCGGGCGCGCTGCCCGCCCTTCTCTGTGAGAAAATTCTTAGATCCGGTGAGCGTGGCGAGACCGAACGATCCTCAAGCAGGTCCCCGGAAAGAACTGTTCGAGGGCAGCGCGTGAGAAGAAACGCGAAATCCATGCACGAGAATCGTAGCACTGGGCTGGGCGGTGTCGCTCGCAATCGGCAAAAGTACTAGGATGGCGAGCGCTCCACCGCTCCTGCTCGCAATCGGAGGCATGTTGCTAGCCGGTAGGATTGTGAGCTAAGCTGCTCGCAACCCTAGAGTTTGCTCGCACTAAGAGAGATTTTTAGCAAATACCAAACAAAAGTGTTTTATGTATTGTTGTTTTGTCGGATTGTGTTTGTGAGCGCGCTGGTAGTAGTCGTGGCACGTGGGCGTCACATTGTGAGCGGAGCTGCTCATATTAGTCCTAGAAGACGTAGGATTGCGAGCGTGGGTGCTCACAATCGCACAGAGATGCTACGATTGCGAGGAGCCGAGGAGTGCTGCTCACAAACTTCATAAATCTCTCTCTCTCTACTCGCTCTCAAACTCACAATCCTTCGACTTCTATATCTAGGATTGAGAGCGAGGCTGCTCTCAATCCTAGCCCGGTAGAAAAGAAGGTTCACCGTCCCATCCCTCCTTTGGCACTTGGAGCACTTGGACTCAGCCAGCACGGGCATACAATTCCTGTACCCCCTACTGTGGAATGATCACAGTGGACCCCTATTCACACCTAGACACGGAGGCACCTCTCCACGTCCGCTCGCTGCCGGCTCCGCTGCTCTGCAGGCTCCGGATAGGCCCTGCCCACGGCTCAGTCACCCTTACCTCGCTCGGGGTGCCAACACTAACTCAACCGCCGAGATCGACCTATGCAGGCGACCAGGCGCAAACATACCACGGTCTGAGGCGCGCTACACCGCCTTCGGCACTCGCCCGCGCCCGCGATCCCTCGGACGCGTTCCACCCGCGCCCTCACCAACCAAATCCCTCGCCTGAAGCAATCTGAAACCGCCAACACGGCGGATATCACGCGAGATCCAGTCAGAGCTGACACACAGCTCCATTCACACACCTCGCGACCAGAGGCGACTACCACCCTCGACAAATCCCCGGAACCCCACCATCGCTCGCCTACCCTCCGCGTACGGCGACACCCCGACACGCCACCTCGGCAACACCCCAACATCGGCAGGAAAGATTACGCCTCGACGGCGCTATAACGCCGCCCCACCCACACAGACTGGACAGGCCTGCTCTCGGAGAGGGGGGCTAGGGGGCCAAATCCACGGCCACAACCCCCTAGAGGCAATGGAGCTGAGAGAAGGCGCTCGACTGCAAGGGTAGCAGAGCGCCACTCCTACGCCCACGCCCCCTCAAAGACGGCAGAAACAGTCACACGCAATTAGTACATGGCCCAGCTCGCGCCATCGCCCACACTACTCGAGCTTTGCAGCGCGCGGGCTCACACTCTACTATAGGCCCCCTCGACGCCCACTTCGAGTTCTACTCAGCTAAGCGGCGAAGCAGTTTGGCGCTTGTGGTGAATCAAATGGGAATCTAGCCCAAGGTCGGAGAGTCGTGTCATAGCACATAGGAGAGGAGAGAGTGTGGAGATGTTTTGTGCGGGATCAGGCCCGAGTCCCTAGTGTCGCCGGAGCAGGTAGCTCCCTTTTTCGTAACAGGAACAGTTTTTTTTTCGAGCACTTGGAGTGCAGTTGGCAACCTTGAGCACTTGAGCACTTGTTAGGGCCGATTCCGCATGGTACGGGACCCCTCCGATCGTCTCGCCCTCCCTCACTGGTGTGTTCATTGGGGGGGGTCATAACAAACACGGTGCAGGATCGAGGTGCACGCCGCCAGAGCAGTGTCGTCCCCCCTCTCCCCGACGGTGATGGCGGTGTGACCGATCGAGCTACAAGAGGAGCTTGTTCAGCAGGATCCGGGGTAGTCTGGCGCACTACCTCACTGGGTCTGAGACCGCCGTGACGCCTCCCATCACCGTCTCGGATTCATGTGGGATCGAACCACTCCAGGATGGGCAAGCCCATCAATTTTCGTTTCGTATTTCCCCGCACCTGCAGGCAATGCCGAGAGAGAGATGAGTGGAGCTGGCACGGAAGGGGAGAGGAGGAAGGGCGGGGACCTTTTGAGGGGGGGGGGGGGGTTTGGCCCTTTAGCCCGGGGACCCCCCCCCGGGGGGGGGGGGGGGCTCAGATGGTCGAAGACTGCAGTCATAGCAGCTTGTAGACGTATTACACACACAAAGACACATAGCAACTCGGGGGCGTATTACACACATCAAGCTGGTTAATTGTCAAAATTCCTGTTGTGCAAGAGGGGAGGGGGCTCTGACTGAGTGTGTGGCGGGAGAGGGCAGGGAATGGGCGCGGGGGAGGGGGGGGGGGGGGGCTCAGCCGTGCAAAAAGCATTAGTTAATAAATAGTAATGAAGAAATAATGCTCGGCCGTTCATGAAGTCCGTCTCGATCTGGAGGAGACGGGTCAACCCCGTGAGGACCAGATCAGGTTCACATTGTCGTAGCCGGAGGGGATGTTGACCTTTAGCTCTTGGGGCCGCGCTTGCGCTTTGTTTTTTCCCCCCACAGACCACGGCAGCTTTTACCAAATGCCAAAGTTGCACTTTACAACGCGGGCAGGTTCGACGATTGCATTTTACCACTCGGGCAAACTCGATGAAACGCGGACGGAAAACGCGTTCGCGGCCGCACGCCGGAGAGCTATGCATGAAGCGGCCGGCGCGCCACCGCAGCTCACCGATGGAGCTTGCGCCGCGGCTCAATCCACAGGCGCAGCAGCACTGCGACGCATTCTCCAAGCACAGTGCCTGACGTTGCAGGTGCTCAGAGAGCGAGCAATAGTCGACAAAAGCCCAGATCTGAGCATAGCGGATCTCCATGTTGGTCGCCGCCCTGCGAGAGGACAACCGCGGGCCTCGGATGATTGCCCGGACGCGGACCCGCCGTGCGAGTTGCAGACCCGGAGGAGGCCGACCCAGCTCACCCCCAGAGAGGCCATGCCCAGTGTCAGCCATATAAAAAAGGGGGGGCTGTTTCCGCCCGTCCAATCTCTCTCGCCCCTGCCCTACCCCGGAAACAGCTCGAACCTGCCCGAATGTTGGCTGCGGTCGTCGATCTTTTCAGTGTACGTTTAGCATACTGGGAGAAAAGAGAGAGGGGGTTGTGCTCTCTCTCTCTCTCAGTGTATGTAGCTCTTACGAACATACCCGAGGCGCGAGGGTGAACTGCTGACAGGGTTTTCCACTAGCAGTCGTAGTTCCATCCGCCCCGGCTCGCGGACTCGCACCGCAAGTAGTCGTCGAGGCGCAGCTGACGGCGCTCCAGCGTGGCGACGTCAGGTGCTGCTTCTCTTTCGCATCGTTTAGTCGTGTTTAGTTGACCGTCTGGGCTACGGCGCTAAACCGCCCTGGGTTAGGGGGCGCTAAACCACCCTAACCCACCCCATTGCGCAGGCTCTCGGTGGGCGCTCCGAAGCAAAAAACGCACACAGCAAACTTCACACTCCCGCAACTGAGCCACCAGAACCGGCCCCTCGCGGCTGAGACGTGATGCGCCGGCACCGGGGCTACGGCGCGGGACCATTTCCAGGCTCTCTCGAGCAACCTCAAAATTGGCCGATTTTGTGATCTCAACCCTGCTGCTCTCTGGCCACAACCTCGCGGCCCGCTGCGCGGCTCTCCGAGCGCGAGAGGAGTCGTCTGCGAGGCGGCGGCGAGCGCAAGCGGCGGCGGCGCGGCGGCGCGGCGGCGGATCGCGGCGCAGACAACGGCAGCAATCTGCGGCACACATGCACACACGCCTCCCTTGCTGTTGCTGCTGCTGCTGCTGCTGCTCCGCTGCGGCTGATTGTGGCTACGATTTCTCCGATCACCCCGGCCGCCCGCCCCGCCCCGCCCGCCCGCCTCTCCCCGCTTGCCCGCCCGCCCGCCCGCCCGCCCGCCCGCCCGCCCACCCATTCCCATCAACATCTCACATACCTTCATATAGGCGCTCGAGACCTCCTGACCTCTCGCTGCCTACTCGCTGCCTCGAGGGAGGAGGGGAAGAGGGCGGGCGTGCTTGCGCGCCTACGCCGCGAGGCCCCTCCCCGAAAAGCAAGTATTAGCCACACGAAACCCGAGACCCCTCCCCCCCGCCCCGATCCCCCCACCCCCTTGCTCCCCTCCCCCCCTCGGGAGGGCCGAACTGAGGCGC